TAAACAGGTATTTCAGGAATGCAGGGCCTTTGTGTGGCTCATAGGGAGGGGTCTGCCCCACAGGTCCCCCAGACAGCCCTCTCCTAACCAAGTCTGTGAGTCACCCTCGTGCTCACTGGCCAGCCGTCAGGGCTGCCCTCTCTGAAACCACCCAGCCTGGTCAGCTGTGGGAAAAGAAGCACGACCCCTATCAGGGCTTAAAAAGAGCAGCCTCCCCTTCTCCCACAAGTGTGTCTGGAGAGGCGAGTGCTTCACGGAGGTCCTTTAAGGCAGGACCTACAGGAGGCCGCCTTCCCTCCTTCCCTTCTCCCGCTCAGGAAGCTGCTCCGCAGGCCTCCTTAACTCGATGACTGATGCCCGGTAATGACCTAGAACGGTCTGGCCTCTGCAGCAACTCCGGCTCCTCCAGTCCAATGGGGCAACAAACCTAAGAGGCCGGCCTCCTTAAAGTCTCGGGAAGTCTCTGCTTGCGTTCCGTCTCTTTCAAGTTCCTGTCCTCTGTGCACCTGCCTCTCGCATGTGGTTGTTCCTCAAACACCTGGCAGGGACCCGGGCCATGGACTGAGCCAGGGAGGCCACACGTAGTTTAAGGTCCCTCTCTGCCCGGCCCCAGCAGCTGTAAAGCACAACAATGAACTCGGACATTCACAGAGGAGCAGAAATGAACCACGTGCCAGTGATGGACGTACTGATTTTACAGGTGTTTCTTCTTTAGCTCAGTGGAGAGTCACCGAATACCTGTCACCTGCCCGTTACTAGGACACAGCCTTATTTCACAGCAGAGATACTTAAACTTCAGTGGAGGTGCTGCCACCGCCCTCTTGCTCCACAGACCAGGATTTCCTAATTCTGACGGGAGCCCACACTCCAAATGCTACTAAAACCCATGTGGGGGACCCTCTGGCCTTTCCTGGCCCATTTCTGTCTCCCGACCTTGCCCCAAGGACCCCGGGGCCTTTGCACCAACAGGGTGTGCTTTGTCCTGTCCTGCACACGACGACCAACACACCGCTCCACACTGGGCTCAGACATCCCGTCCTTGCCACGTCCTCTCCCTGGGCCTGGTCCCTGTGGAGCCCTGCCAGCTCCTCCACTGAGCCCTGGCTGCACCCTGCTGTGTCACGACACAGGGTGAGAGGGCCTTGGCAGCAGGGACCAGGACAGCCCGCTCTTACTGCCTTAGTATCCCCAATGCAGTCCCTGCACCCAGCGATCACTCCATCTGCTACTTATCTTTCCACGAATAACAGAATGAACGTCTCAGGTACCTTCTAGATCAAAACTGGGTCCGAGTTGGCTTGACGGATGCCCACTGAGCCCATAGCAGCCCTGGGTGGGCCAGCGAGGCTGCCAGCTCCTCGGACAGAGCACTGCCCAGGGTCCACTCAACTTGGGCCAGCCCCAGCTCTGCTGTTTCCTAGCTGGGGACCTTGGGAACATGACATACCCTCTTGGAGACTTAGTTTTTGATCTTCAAAATGGGAAAAACTGGAGCAGACCCTCTGAGGTCACTGTGAAGATTCAATGAGATGAGGCACCGGAAGTCCTTCGCTCAGGGACTAGCACACGGTGTGGAGATCTGCTGACCACGTTTTATGGGCCAGACGCTGGAATTTGCTGAAGACGGAAGGGTGAACAAGACCCCATCACTGCCTCAACAAGGGTGCGGTGAAGGCAAGGACAGGGACCGGGCTGACAGTGACCAGACAACGGCAGCCCCACGAGCGAAAACGGGGAGAGGGAAGGACCCGAGCAGCCCTGGGGAGGCGCTGACATCACCCGTCTCTGGGAAATATGCTGCCATTTCGCTCCAAATACACTAAACTCAGCGCTAAGTTTAAGCATAACCAAGCTTCAGGAAAGGCAAGTTCAAGGCCCCAGCTGAGCTGACTGGGCCTAGAATCCCTGATACTGTGATTGGCACAACTTGAACCCAACAGTGATGGATGCAGGGGTAACTTAGAAAGCTTTCAGAAGATTTTAAGACTCTTATCACAGATGGCTGGCCTGCCAATGTCATGGACATTCTGGAACAGCTAAATTAGAGACATCAGGGACAGAGTGACTAACAGTGCCACCCTCCGTGAGACAGACGGTAAGAAACAGCATTTGTGGTTCTCAAGGAAACAGTTGTCATAATTTCAACCAAGAACATTTTGCATCTCGCATCCTAAATTCCGCACGAGGGTGTCCCACAGTCCTGGGGAGGAAAGCCTGGGGTCAGAGTGCACGCAGAGGAAAGGGACAAGACGAGCCATGCAGAAGCGGGAAGGGCTCCAGAATGAAGTGACGGCGGGGCGATGTCAGAAGACAGAGCAGACACCCCGAAGGGTGCCCGCTGTCCAAATACCAGACCCCAGCGGGTCACGGCCCACTGCACAGAAGAAAAACCCAAGGCAATCCTGATGATAAGAAAGAAATAGAAGAAAAAACAAATGGGGCAGAGCAGGCGGAAACAACTCCGCCATCAGCAGATGAACAGGGGAACAAAACGGGGCGCGTGTGCACGAGGGAACAGCACCCAGCCTTCCGAACAAGTGGAATTCTGACGCACGAGACGACAAGGATGAATCCGGAAGACGCTGTGTTGAGGGCAATAAGCCCATCCCAAAAGGTCGAATGTTGTACGATTCTACTTACATGAAGCGCCCAGAGTCGTGAAATTCAAAACCAGAAATTGGAATGACGGTGACCCAGGGTTGGGGGAGGGGGACGCGCAGGTGCCGTTTAAAGGGCAGAGGCGTTTTGGGGATGAGAGCGCTCCGTGGAAGGCGATGGCGGCAGCTGCACAACCGAGCGATCATGCTTCGCACCGCCAGCTGCCTGCACTTCCAAATGGTTGAACGGTACATCTTACGTGCATTGTGCCGCAACTTTATAAAAGATAACTGACACCAGAAACTACTGTTTCCACATGAACAGGTAAAAAGTCCCTTAGATTCTGCTTTTCTCCCACACACAAAATCCGCCTGGTTCTGTAGGTGGCAGGTCAGAACATATAAGGAAATCGTTTCCGGCAGTAAGATAAACTAAAAGACGGAGCAGTCTGGTCACTTCCACCAAGTCGGGGTCCAGTTTGTTTGCCACATGATTAATCGCACCAGTGTTGTAGAAAAGGATGTACTTTATCCCCAAAGACAGGTCCATTTTCTCCTATCCACAATTCTGAAAAGCTCTGAAACTCCAACTTTTTCCCCATGAGTTTGGATCAGAAACACATTTGGTGGCAAAGCCTGACCTGAGGCCACGCGGGGCCACGTACAGCCCTTCTTCACCCACTTGCGGTGCTCGCACAACTGGCTGCAGAAACAGCGCCGGCTCGACGTCAACAACCACGCTGCCCCACGGGCTCCGCTCTGCAGGAGACCCTCTCTGCGTGTCGAGTGTGACAGCAGCTCCATGCTGAAAGGAGCTGAGAACTATGAACTCCAAAAGAAATCTGGTTCTAAAGATTTCAAAGAAGAGGCGATGGATCTCTACAAAATGAGTTGTATCAGATATTAGATCAGGATTTCTGCAGCTTCTGTCATCCTCAACCTAATTCACACTTCCGCCATATCTACACATCACTTGTGTTATTATATTCCCTAGCACTTGTCTTCACGTTGACTCAGCTTTTTTCAAGTTGAATAAAATTATAACTTTAAAGGACGATCTCATCGCTACTGTAAAAGCCGATGTAAAGGGCCTATCCTCTGTGAAAAGGGGGATTCTGAAGACTTCCCAGAGGAGTCACAGTCACGGAGCACCAAACCGAGCCTTTCACCTGACACCGTAAAGGAGAAAGAAAACTGAAAAGGAAGCGCCGTCTTACGAGGTGAGTCAGTGTCATCCAGTGCTGGGCTGGTGCAGGGTGTCCCGCCTGCTGTCCCCAGAAGGACCTATCCCACACTTTGAGAGGCTCACCTAGACCACATCACCCTTCTGTCACTCAGGAGACGACTGTGCTGGGACAGCAAAGTCCCGTGGTGGGAGGGGGAGCGGGCTGGACAGAAGCACTGTGGCCACAAGGAGGGCAAATCTCTGAACATCACTTCCAGTTCTGTCACCCACAATCCCTGTTTGGGCATCTGAGTCGGGCACTGCCGCCCAATTTATCAAATCAGCACAAAAGTGCGACCCTCTGGCACATCCGAGCTGCACTGGCCGAAGGACAGTTTGTATCGAGACGGGACAGACTGACAAGTCAGAACGTGGCAGACTGCCAGGACCCCTCTCCTTGGTTACCTTCAACGACAGCTACTGCAACCAGCCGCCTTCGAAACCAGCACAGTAAGATTTAGCGTGAAACGAAAATAAGTCAGTCTCCAAAAGTACCTTCAACATCAGCTATACATATTTTATAAAATAAGACAAAATGCAAAGTTCTTCCTTGTAGCAGAGTACTGAGTTAGAAAATCCCCACCGCTTTGCAACTACTACAAATTTAAAAATAATAGTCCAAATCATGCATTGACTTCATGAAGTGATCAAAACGAACACCACCGGGAAGGCGCAGACACACATCGCGAGCCTCCGGATGTCATGAGCTGGAGTCTTCCCGACTCCACCAGGTGACACCAGACACGCACAAACTGACAGAGACTCTACAAAACACCCTGCCTCCGGCCCTCAGAAATTCGAGGAAAGACCAAGGCACGCAGTAAGACTCCTCCAGACTAAAGACCCACATCCACTAAAATGCGGGGCTCGGACTGGACCCCACACAGAACAAAAAGCCATAAAGGACGGAACTGGCACAGATGACAGAACTGGTGTGGATGGCAGGTTAGGAAAACAATGGTATCAAGTTCAATTTCATGACTCGGGTTATAGTTGTTAAGTAAAAACATTGCTTTTGTTCGGAGAGGCAGAATCTGAGGCACGGTGACTGTGGGTGACCATGGGGAAGGGTGACCATGGGGAAGGGTGACCAAAGCGAGGTCGAAGACAATGCCAGCGCCCTGTCCACCGGCTGCCACGGAAGCCGCCCACCCTCCCCAGTTCCTGCGTGGGCTCACCATTCTTCGGAGAATCCTCAACAGAAGCTTCTGCTCCTTCGGGTCCTCCTTGGACAGCAGGGAGTCGGCCAAGGCTTCTGCGTTTTCAGGAGACAGGCTGTCTGGGTTTTCCCCTCCATAGAGCTGAACCAGCATAGACAGACACTTGGAGGAGACTTCGAAAATCTCAGGATCCTCGGCAGGAAGCTGAAAATGAACAAAGAGGACGACTTCAGCCCCATCCCAAGATGCTGCTGGCGTTCCTCAAGAACTACAGTAAGATGTGCCCCATGGGGAAAAGGTCAGTCTGAGCATAAAGTGTAACTAACTGAATGTTCCCCCCTCCCACAATGGGTCTTTGTCAAAAGCAAACAGTCGCTCAAAGAGAGCTAGTAGCACAAAATCAGAAGAAAGTCTTGTAGCAAGCTGAGGACCAACAGAGGCTTTATACGCACACACTCGATGCAATGTGTGTATCGGGGATGTGTGTGTGTGTGTGTGTGAGAGAGAGAGAGAGAGAGAGAGAGAGAGAGAGAGAGAGTACGAATTGTTTGAGGCATGTCCTTTATGTTCTTGCTTACTATGAACTTGTTTAGAAAAACTCACTTCCTGGAAGATATTAAGGGACACACTGACCTTGTCAGTGTCCAAATCGTCACACACCAAACAGACGGGACAGAAAGCAACATTTTTGTACATATGAGAAGGTACGCTATGAAAACAATAGTCATACTGGAAGCATGTTAACCTCCTTTTTTGAAGTTCTATTTTCTTTGTAACAGCTTCACTGAGAAGTAACTCCTAGGCCACCGGCTCACTCACTTGACAGGCCCGGTCCAATGGCACAGGCGGAGAGGTGCAGCCATCACTGTGACCAGTCCTAGGGTTTCTCGCCCCCCAACACAGAGCCCCGCGCCCGTCAGCAGCCGCCTGGCCATCAACTCCTCCTCCCACCCCCAACCCTGCCCACTGCTGCCGGTCAGCTTTCTGTCACTCTGAACCTGCCTTTCCGGGATGATTCAGGGACCTGAAATCATGCAAAATATGATCCTTTGTGACTGGCTTCTTTCCCTTAGCATAATGTTTTCAAAATTCATTCATGTGTCTGAATTCTTTTTATTGTCTAATAATATTCCATTGTATGGATATACCACATTTGTTTATCCACACACACTCTGATGGACATTTGAGCAGTTTTGACTTTTGGGCAGTAATGTGTGAGCATGTGTGTATACACACATTTTCATTTCCCTTGGGTAAATGCCTGGAAGTGGAATTGCTAGGTTTGTATGTTAAGTCCAAGTTTAACCTTTTTCAAAAAAAGATTTTATTTATTTATATTTAAAGAGAGGGGAAGGGAAGGAGAAAGAGAAGGAGAGAAACATCATTGTGCAGTTGCTCTCCTGCGCCCCCTACTGGGGACATGGCCTGCAACCCAGGCACGTGCCCTGAGAATCGAACCAGCGCTCAATCAATCCACTGAGCCACACCAACAAGGGCCATGTTTAACCTTTTGAGGAACTGCCAGACTGTTTCCAAAGCTGCCGTTAGCACCAGCAATGGATGAGCACCATTTCTCTATATCCCCATCAACACCTGCTACTATCTGTCTTCTTAATGGCGGCCTAGTGGGTATCTCACTGGGGCTTTGATTTGCATTCCCTGATAGAGCTAATGGTGTTTAGTATCTTTTTTTGTGCTCATTGGCTACTTGCATGTCTTCTTTGGAGAAACGTCTGTTCAGATGCTTAGCTCATTTTTCAAATGAGCCATCTTTTTATGATTGAGTGTAAGTGTTCTTTATACTTCAAATGTGTGTCCCTGAGCAGATACGATTTTCAAAAATGTTTTTCCACTCTGTGGGTTGTTTTCTCACTTCTTATTCTTTTCTTATTGACTTGGGAGGGAGGGAAGGGAAAGAGAGGGGAGGAGAGAGAGAGAAACATCACTTTGCTGGTCCATCCATCCACGTCCTCACTGGGTGATTGTATGTGCCCTGACTGGGGATCGAACCCACAACCTTGGCACACTGGGACAGTGATCTAACCAACTGAGCTGGTTGGCAGGGCACATCTTCTCCCTTTGTTAATAGTGTGCTCTGAAGCACGAAATAATTCGTATTTTAATAAAGCTTCAATTTACCTTCTTCACGGTTTGTGAATCTGGTGTCACGCCTGAGACACCACTGCCTGTTCCAAGGTCTTGAGATTTACGCTGCTTCTAGGAAATTTTAGTTTCTGCTCTTACATTTACTTTTTCTTCTAGGAATTTTATAGTTTCAGCCTTTACATGTAGATCTTCGATCCATTTTGAGTTAGTTTTTCTATATAGCATGAATCAACCCCTCATTTTTAGATATGCGTGGGTTTCTATGCAGTTGTAAGAAACGACAGAGATTCCCCACATACTTTATGCAACTTCCTCCACGGAAACAGAGTCAACTGACTGCGGAGAGACACGCGATGGCAATCGAGGACACATTTTCAGCAAACGGTGCTTAAACAATATGCAAAAACGTGAACTTCAATCCTTGCCTTTCACCATGTACCCAAATTAACTCAAAATCGTTGAAAACACAGGTCTAATCTAACACGGCTCAGAATTACCGCAGAACATCCACACTCACGTTAAAAACACAAGTCCCCGGGAATCCCTGAAACTCATTTGGTTCTCAAAAAAAAAAAAAAAAAAGGTTGAAAGACCTAAATATAAAATCTAGACCTTCTCAGAGAAAACACAGGCAAAACCTTTTAGACCTTGTTGGGGGGAAAGACTTCTTAGCTATAACTGCAAAAGTACAGTGTAAAAAAGGGAAATGAGCTCCATCCACGTTTTATTTTATTTATTTATTTATTTATTTATTTAAGATTTAATTTATTTATCTTTAGAGGGGAAGGGGGGAAGGAGAGAGGGAGAGAAACATCAATGTATGGTTGCCTTTCGTGCGTCCCCTGCTGGGAACTGGCCTGCAGGGAACCAACCTGCAACCCAGGTGTGTGCCCTGACTGGGAATCGAACTGTGATCGTGTGTTCATCCACGTTTTAAAAACTCCTCCTTGAAAGCCTGTCTTGTTCACAAAATGCTCGATAGAAGGTGGATATTACCACCACCGCTGACCCCGTCACAAATGTCCCTTTAATGGGGACTGTGAGAAAAGCATTGTCGGACCACAAAACTAGAAAACGCTTTCCACCCCGAGTAAATGTCTCCCCTGCACGTGCCCCACTTATCTTGTAAGTGACTGTATTTCCATTTCTGTCCAGCAACCAGGACTCTCAAGGCCAAAGTCATGGCCTAATTTTCACAACAACATTAGACTTCGTATTTATACTGAAACCTATCTCATCTTCACTGATTTATTCATGTTTGCTACTTTGGATTGCCAGGCTTAAAAAAAAAAAAAATCCGAAACACCCAATTAAGTTTGAATTTCGGATAAAGAATGAATCTTTTTTAGTGTCAGTCTGTCCATCTGGCATCTTGCCTTTCGTCTGTCAACCCCTAACTTTATTGTAAACATTCTTATGAGCCGAATCCAATATTTTGTGGAAGAGATGAGCTAACACACGCGCGCGCACCTTGGAAATATTTCAAAGTACACTTATACCCCAATTTTAAAAACTGTCTTAAAACAATTTAAAACCACATTTGTACCGTGCTTACTTCCCTTTATCCAATCTACACAATATGATGCATTTCAAAATCTTTCTCTTTTATGTGCTACTTTTCAAATATTGCCCGGTGCAGTGTTTTTTCAAAAATTATATGGGAACATTTAGTGTCGGCGAAGAGAATAGATCATATTAACCAAGAAAAGAAAACACTCCATTATACAATATCCTCTACCCCTTGCCACGCCATCTAAAAGCCTCGTGAGAAGAGACCCCTCCATACTGTTAGGGCGTCTTTAACAAGAATTCCCATCAGGGCCATCAGTCCTCATCCCTCTTCATTTTAATATATCAATCACTCTTGCTCAAATCAGCTGAAGAGGCAGCAGAAACCATCATTAGGCTGACGGATGGTGGCGATCCCCGATGACATCACCCGAGGAAAGAGCACTGCCCACAGCCTCGGCGGTGCCCCGGCCTCCGCCTTTTCCTTGAGAAGGTGCTTGACACTTTCATGGACCCCAGGGCACATTACGTTACTACATGTGGAAACTTAGAGGGAAGAAAACCTGCCACCACCATTACTCATTTAGTGGTTAAGTCCATCAGTCACGAGCCAGAGCACTATGGTTTAGGGGAAAAAATCCGAGAAGTAAGTTGAAAGTCGTTAGCAGGTCAAATCAGCCTTGACTTCTGGGTTCCGGGCACTGCCCTGACTTTCATGAAAAACTTCATATTTTCGTGGTCAGCAAAAAAAAGAACAGGGAAACATAGCTCATTTAAAAAACCATAACCGTCGGTACAGGAGGAGGTTTGGACGGTTCTACTGAAGCAGGGAAGCAGCAGGACCCAGAGGGTGCGTACCTGTCCACACTGACTGCCAAGATGCTGGGTTTGGTGCAAAAGCTTCGGCCTAATCCTTTGTCGCTTTCCAGTCTCTCTCTTCCCACCGGGGACAGTCAGGTGGAGCCTGTCCCCACTGGGTGAGAGAAGGATGCTGGAGACAGCCACCCACGAAGTAACCAGAAGGTCCACTGCGGTTCCACCTGTGGCCGGTACCACCTGTCTTCCACACAGGCCACTGTAGTTTTAAAACTTTAGCCAGAGCATACCAGTCTCCTGCTCAACACCTCCAGTGACTTCTCGCGGCCTTGAGAAGACGGTCCACATGCCTTACTGTGGTCCCCAAGACCCCGCTGAGCAGTGAGGCTGAATGACCGGAGTGCATGTGTGAGGACAAGAGGCTGGACAGTGAGGTCGGAGGACAGCAAGCTGGCACAGAGCCCTCGGAAACTTAGTCAGACCATCATTCACCGCTCGAACCACCCCTGGCTTCGATATGCTTATGGCGACATTATGGCTAGTGCATACATGAACTTGGAGTCCAGGCGACAGATCATGGCTAATGACACACATTAGGAAATCCTCCAAGTACAGACATCATGGAGAGCAAGGGGCTGAAGAGGACCCCTTACGGAGAGGGTGACTGCCCGGCCCTGCGCCAGGGATACGGCTCACGGAAAGCTTCCCTTCAGGGCAGCGGCACCACCTCCGCCACAACCTCTCCCTCAGGAAATTCAGGAATGCTTCACCCT